ATGTATGTATGTATGTATGTATGTATGTATGTATGTATGTATGTATGTATGTATGCATGCATGTATGTATATGTATACATGCATAATTATGCTGATTTATATATGTATGATTGTGTGTATGAATGTAAGTATGCATGCATTCATGATCATCTGTGGATAAGTGTGCATGGCAATGAATACCTTTGCATGTGAATATGTGTGTGTATATATGCATATATGTAATATATTTATATATTTGTGTGTATGCATGCATGTATGTTTGAATAAATGCATATATTTATGTATGCGTGCGTGCTTGTCTATTTGTATGCATATATGATTATATGGGTATGTGTTTTCATGTTTGTGCATATGTACATATGCACCTATTAGGATTTCAGGACCTGACCAACACCCAGTAGAGAATTCAGTCTTGACTCTATCCGACTTTCCGAGTGCCGATGCTGCAGGCCATTCAGCAAAATGGCGGCGAAAAAAGTATTCTCTGGTGCGGTGTCGAATTGGTATTTTTACGTGGGTTTCGGATAAAAAACTGGGCAATCTTTACTGAAACTGCTGCCAATAGGCATTTTGGGCATTATGGAACTCGCCCTACCTGAAGCCAGTTATCTCGAAGCGACATGTTTGTCGATTGTCAGATGCATATCTTTACAAGCTTAGGCTCGTCGAGTTGGGCACGGAGCAGCTGTGTTTTCATGCCTCGATGCTTTGGTACCTGGTCAGCTCACTTCTGCGTCGAGTGATGGCGTCTAATGAAGAGATTCGTGGGCTACAAATGCGAATTGTTTCTGGTCTCTGGTCGTTTGGTCTTGCTGAAAGGTGCCGATTGGCGCATTTCTCTCCGTCGTTTTCGATGTTGTGTGCCGGTTCTGGTCCCCAAAGAGGTCGTTGGTTCGCACCAAAATCGTCTCATCCGCAATTCCTCTGAGCTGGCTCCTTTTCTGCGTCATGTTGGGTGGCTTTGAATGCGATCGGCCCCGAAATAGTGGATCACTCCGCGAAGTTTCGAAGTTCTTTTCCTAGTACACTGGCACTTTGACCAAATCTGGCCACATATTCGATGATGTTCAGGAGATCTCCGGCTTCCAAGTGAAACCGTTCTGCCAGTGGGACCTTTAAAATAGACGTATTTCTTGACTGACAGCCAGCCAGCAGTGGTCAAGCTCGTTGTGGTTGCCAGACGAGACCGAGAGAAGCCGAGGCCAAGGTTTGAGACTGGTATGGACACCAACCCGACCCGACCGCTTATTTGGGTCGTCAAATTGGTCCAATTTGTGAGCTCATTTTGTGCTTTCCACCCGTGCTCTGCATGCTTCCTCGCCTCCCGCATATACTCCCCCAACAAAGGCCTGCCCTCTTTTCTACTCACGGCTTGTTTTGGTCTGTTCGCAGACCCATTTCTCGCATCTCCCGCCTGTCCTGAAGCATGTGCACCCCTCCAATGGGCTCTTGGCGGATTGGCGCCCGCTTGGAGCACACATTTTGTTAAGACCTTCTCGTCTCGGAACTGTGCACCTTTCGGCCATGACCTTGTCCGGACGAAGAGGCGACTTGTTTTAGCCACGAAATGGCAGACATTAGCTTCGTGATTGGAGCGGATCCTCCAGAGGACATCTGCCAGTTCTCGCGTTCTGGGCACAAGGCCTTGAGCCCAGTAGGGCAGCATTTGTCGACAGGACTGACGAGACGTATGGTTCGTGCAAAGCTATGGGTTCAGTAGCTCAGAGCGGGATGCAGCGCTTTGTAACCACCGGATAGCGATAATGTAAATTGCTCTCGACGCTGCTCGACCCATTGTAGGCATGTTCAGAAGAGCGAGGCTTAAATGCTGTGTCAGAAGATCTCGTGTCGAAAAGAAGTTAACTTTGTGAAGGGCGAATGTCCGAATTTGTAAAATCTAAAAACTCATGTCGGCCCAGGGCTCTTAAGGTGAAGTGAGAACTATTATTGTTGAGCCAAATTGCATTTCGAGTTAAAGTGGGTATGATGAAGAGTTCTGAGACTGGATACCAGCAGAAGACGATCCCGGATTCCTCTTGACCAGCTGTCGGTTGGCTTTACTGGAACATTCTTGCCGACTCTGTTTCCGAGACAATCTCCCTTGATTTCGGGGGAAACGTGCAAAGCTTTAAGCATTATTAGGGCAGGCTATCATTTTCACAGTTGGTGAGCTTACTTCCATTTAAAATGAAAGTGTTGGGTGAAGAGATTCGAAGGTCGGTTCTACCATAAGACGACGGTGAATTCCTCTTTACCAGCTGTCGATTGGCTTTACCGAAACATTCATGCTGACGCTGTTTCCGAGGCAATCTCTTTAGATTTCTGTGAAAAGGTTCTAAGCTTTCGTCCGTCATATGACGGACATCATAAGAGCGAGGTAGCATCGTCACAATAAAATTCAAACTAACGAGACAAGTAAACAAGTAAGGAATTGTGATATGGCGGCAGTGGGATAAGAGGGTAATGAGTGGATAGATAGACCAGTACAGAGTGAGGAGTGATAGTGTAACCGTCTTTGGCAGAACGTTGGTGGAAGGATTGACTTCACTTATCTCTTTGACGACTTCGTAGATTGGTGTGGAGAATGGCAAAAGTGACTGATGATGCCGACTACGATGCAGGCGAAACGTTTGAGAATGTACCAAGTACACTGTCTGATGTTGGGAATCATGACAACTACTATGGCAGACGACTTTGAACTATGTGCCTTCAACTAAGTCGCCATGACAACAAGAACAAGTTGCGTCAATAAGGTCAACCCTCTTCTTTAATGCCTTAACTTTATCGGTCTCTTACCCAATACTTTCTCACGTCCATTAAGCCTTGCGTTTCATCTAAATTATGCCAAATTTCATATCGTTTGAACTTTTGCTCTGTTTGAAAAGTTATGTGCAAGTGAAGAAAAGTTGGGTTTCGAGGAATCTCTTGTTTCATAATTGTTGAGCTAACTTCCATTTCGAGTGAAAG